TCAAAAAAATCTGATTTAAATCAAAAAAAATCTGATTCTTTTGATTTTTTTTAAAAAAATAAAAAAAAAATCACGAACCCTGCTTATAACAACAGATCTAAAATCGTGTAGGACATATTTTTTCAGAATCATCATTCTCCAGAAAAACTTGTTAACACTTAAATAATACCAGTTTTTAATTACGTATTCTTTTTCTAAAGAAGTGTCTCTAATGCTTATAATTTGTTTTAAGTGCATAAATTTTGTTTATAATTAATTTTTTAAAAAAATAACATTGTAGCATCTCTTTCTTTGTCTATGGGTACAGGTTCTCCAATGTTACATCATATCAAATGTTTCTGCAAATTTGGTAGAGAGATCAATTTCAAAAGACGTGTATAATTTTGAACTATCCTTTCTGTTGCCTTCATAATAAAGGTCATTCTTTTTCATTATCGTAAATTTGCTTCGTTCTTATCATGTTGAAAATTTGAAATTACTGCATAGGCAGGTTACTTTCATGAATTTATATAAAATGCATACTTATATACACATAATTCAGCACAGAAAAAAAATCATTTTTATCCTCCCTTTTTAATAGAACTTGTCTTAAAGATAAAAAATCATTGTTATTAATGACTCAAGAAAAAAATTAGTATTTAAGCCTAATATTTTATGTGTTACTTTTTCTTAATATAGGTGTTGATCAATTTATTTAAAAACCTTGATTGTTCAATTATAATTCTTGTTTTCAAAAATCTTTTTTTTTATATTTTTTTTTTATAGATAGAGGTAGATAATTCTAAATATGGAAGTCCAGGGTCCTAATTTTCAATCTTGCAGAATCACTCATCTGTTATGATTAGAGGCTATTTTGAATATTAGATTTTGTAGATAAATTTTCTTACGAGGTATTTTCTTTTCACAATTCATAAAAATCAGTAAAAAGATAGACTGAGGTTTTAAAAATATCTAGTTTTAATCTATATAAAACTTTTTTAGTATGAGTATAGTGGAAATTAGTCTTATGCCAATCTTGTGTTATAACTTTCTTTGCTCTTAAATATTAATCTGAATGTAGAATAACATTGTGCATTTTTCTTTCAGTATAAACCCATATTTTTGGGTACCGTGGATCCAAGTAGTGATGCTGCAAAATATAAGAGGACTGTTAACACTCAAAAATGCATTCGTGCAGGTGGAAAACACAATGATTTAGATGATGTTGGAAAAGATGTTTATCATCACACTTTTTTTGAAATGTTAGGAAACTGGTCTTTTGGAGATTTCTTTAAGGTACTTTTTGGTGATACTCGTAGTGGAAATATTCATAATTTTTTTTAAAATTCTATTCTAACTTAAATTGAAATTTTAAAAAAATGTGTGTTGGAAAAGAATAATAAACAGTATAAAATAGAGCTATAATGGTATTTGTCAATTATAAGGGTCATGTTTTGGCCGTTTTTTTTTCTCTCGTTATTAATGTTGCATGTATTCTCATGAAAAGTATCAATATTCTTCCAATTTAACTTGTTTATATTGTTTCATTGATCCAAACAACACAGTCACAATAATTTTTTCAATAATTATTGTGTTTATTGTTCTCTAAATTATCATTCTCATTTTTTATATTATCAATTGTAACTGAGATTTTCGCATTTTATCCGTATTATTATCATTGACAGGGTGCGTAGCATTTTTAAAAACTGCTTATTTTTGATTTAAAATTTTTAAAAGCCTTAGAGGTTTTTCTTTGCTGTGTCGATTGTCTTCATAAATTACAATAAGAGCATGATTTTTCACAATTTTCGCTGCAATATTTATCAGAAACTAGTTATTTTATCATGATTATGTAAAGTTTTTGAAAATAATTTTGCATATTGTTGAATTTATGTTTATAAATTAAGATTTTTAACTGATAGAAAAAAATAATTTTTATTACTGCATATATCTTAATTATGAATTTTTTGTAAAGAGATTAAAAATAATTTAAGGTTCTTATTTTTTGTTGAAAAGTCTGGCTATGTACCCTGATTGATTATTGCAACTTTGTTTTTGATACACATGTGTATGATTCGAAAACCTGTCTAAACTAGAATCTTGTGTTATACTATCATGTAACTTGATTTTCTACTACTTCATACTAAACTATCTTGTTTTGTATGTTTCAAAATTTTTTAAGCATTTTAATATATTATGCAGTTTTTAATAGCATTCAAAAACTTATCTTTAACAGAAAGAAATATGTCAGTGGTCATGGGAGTTATTAACTGAAGTATTTAAGTTATCTAAAGATCGCCTCTATGTAACATATTTTGGAGGAAATGCAGCTCTGGGATTAGACCCTGATGATGAATGCAAAGAAATCTGGAAACAAGTTGGGTATGTGAGTATAATAACTGTCAAAGCTGATGACCACTGTTTATTATGTTTGTAAACTTTATTTTTTTAAAACTTCATCTTTTAACAAGATATTTGCATACATGCACTTCTTACGTCAATTTGATTCTTTTGGCTTGACAAATTTTTTGGATGTGTTGAAATCTGTTAATATTGCAATTCTAATTTGAGGAATTGAAATATCGCAGTGTTTCTGTTTCTTACTCTTTTTCTCTTTTCTAATTTTAGTTATTTTTAGGATTACATTTTTTAGTCTAGTAACATTCAGGTACCATGTGTAGTTTTTCTTTTGATCTTATTTTTTTCCTAGAAGGCAGTAATATAGGAAATAATTAATATCCTAATAGGAAATAATAATAATCCTAAATTGTGGGAATACTAGTTATTTTGCTTTTTTTTTTCAGTGTTTTTATTACAGCACAACTTTTCGTAGCTTCTTTCTTCACTTAGTCCTGCAATATAAAACTGCCATTTGAAGCATTAAATAATGCAAACAGTTAATAATTAAAAAATTGTTTTTATTTTATGTTTAATTAAATTTCTGTTTAAAATTTTTCTCTATTTCTTATTATTTTCTTCTGAAGAGTTGATTGCAATATTTTTTTCTTGTTTTTATTAAAGCTTAGCTTGTCTAGAATTCTCAAAAGGTCCTTCCTATATTTCAGACAAATAAAGAATACTCATTAATCACCAACTTAAATTTAGTTAAATCTAAATTTAAAACAAGCTGAGAAATATTTTTAAATGTGATATTTTGAGAACTATTGTGACTTTTAATTTTGCCTCCCTGCCTAAGCTTTGGATTAGATGTCTGAGATTCCCTTGACAAAATGTGAACTAATGCTTTCCCATCTTTATTAATTATAGTTATAGTAAGATAAAAAACATAAAGTATCTGCGCACACAATCAAAAAGTATCTGCAAGCTCCTAATTTTTTTTATTTATTCTTGACAAATATATATATATATGTATATATATATTTACATGCACAGTAGCATATAGAACATTAGAGAAAGATTGATATTTACAGTTATACTTAGAACTACATTCATAAAAAGTAATTGTCATGTTAAGTAATATTTGTGATTTTGCTCCAAACGAAAGTACATTAAAAGGTTTCCTACTGTCACCGCAATCATCTATTTTTGTTGTAAAGCGATAGTCGCATCGAGTTGAGTTGGAAAAAATCAGCTGATTGTCGAATCGACCCCTAACAGTAGAAATACTAATCTTTGGGCTCAAGTGCCAGCATGCATGCAACTAAAAACTGACTTTTCTTCTATCTTGCATAAATCATGATTAAGCTATCTGCTTCGTATTTTCTTTTTCACCCTACTGCAATTTTTTTTGCGGGCGCGGATACTTTAATATTTACAAAAGTATCTGCAATATTGGGGAATCGCCATCAATGTATACGTTCACATGTGCGTCTATATTATCTAACTATGATTATCGTTTCCTTTGATATCCATTGGCAACAAAGTTAAGTTTTGTTGTCGTAGTTGTTGAGTGTCAAACTTAATGTGAATTATTTTTCTAGGGTTTCTGCTCATGGTATCTATTTCAAATTTTTTACATGCACACATTATTGAGATTGTATACCTAATATGTAGCAAAGTTTAATGTTTATGCTTGATTTAGTTTGATTTTGGTGTGGGTATTTGCACACAGGCCATTTAATCACCAATAGCAGATTTATGTACATACACAAGTCGACTGTGTATTGATAACTCAATCTTGCCAGGTGTTTGGTATCATATGTCCCTACCATGGTGCTTGAAAGTTTTTTTGTGCATTGTAAATTATCATGGGTAGCTAGTTATATTTAAGTATAATTAGATAATCTTTGAATAAAAAGAATGTAAATTTTTTCTTGTAATTACAGTGAAACCTCCGTTAAGCGGA